TTAAAGGCAGAGAAAGTGATTTTTCATAAACACTTTAGAAAACTGATTCGGGCCGAATAGCAAAACAAACTTGTAGCCAATCAGCAATAAGGGGCGTGTCTACTCGTCTCGTGATGTGGAGGAGAGAGCTTTCAGTGCATGGGACGGACATTAGCCGAGCCGAGCGACAGAGAGATAGAGATGGCGGATAAAAAACAAGAGGAAAACGTCTGTGGAACGATAAGGCAAGAAGTAGGACCTGTGTAAATATCGGATCAGCTTTCCAGCGCTGGAGAGAACTCAAGGAGCGGAGGCCTGCGATCGGACGCCGAGGTTGCTTTGTTTCTTCTCAATAGGTGAGTAACACCGTGTCTACAACAGCTAAAGTCTGCCTACACTGGACGCGATCAAACGACCGTTGAAAACCATTTGAAATTTGTGTCAGCACGTCATAAATAGAACCCGGCTGCAGTTTTCTGTCGGGGATTTGTCACGCAGCGCCACTTGCGTCCGATGTAGACACGGTGTAACATTGGTTTTGCTTTGTTTCACAGAACTAATCGTTGCCTGGGTTGCGTACATATATGTGGGGCGGAGCTATCAAAATAGGGACAAGACCCTTTTGGGGTAGGGGCGTGCTTGTTTTGGTGATTTCAAATATCAACATTGGCTACCAGAAATCGCTTACTCGCTTACTCAAGGGCGTGGACACTTGAGTGACAGGTGGATTGCCGCTGCTGTCACCACCGTCGAGCTAGGTTGGCGTGGTTTCAGCAACCAGCTCCCGCCTTTTTGCCCATTTTCGAATATCCGGGAGTGGCGCGCGGTGACGCGCTGCCAAGATGGCGACGGCCGCCTCTGCACACTTTTGAGCTTCAAAAACCTCTTCAGGAATCTACGGGTGACGTCACGGACACTACGTCCATGTTTTTATACAGTCTATGGGTTTGGCACGTTTTCTACATAAGGAAGGAAAATGAATGATCTGATATGAAAAAACGAATGAAGAAATGCATATGATAATACAAATATCATGTTGGCACAAGCAGTGCAAGACAGTTTTACTCATAATAGACATCAGTAATCAGTTTCTGATGGATAAAACCAAGTCCTGCACTACATTTTCTCACTGAATATCCTGTTTCACTCAGAAGTCTGACAAATTATGGAAATAAAACAGGTTGCAAAAGGCAACTCATATTGACTTCAAAGAAATATGTTATCTGGCACTTTGTGGTCAACACCCGCCCTTCTTGTGTATATAAATATCAAGTATGTACTTGCATGGGTACATGTCTGTATATACATTGCAGGAATGCAGTACAGTACTGTATATCACCTAACAGCCATTTCGTAATGTCTGATGAAGGATAGATGGCCCAGAAGTAGGCTTGGACAGAAATAGCATCTACCTGTTTGTCTGAAGTAATAAACGGTTTTCTCAAGTAATATCCAAGATCAGAGGGAAGAAATATAAAACTTAAGTCACTGGAAAACCAATACTGATATAGGGGGAGGGAAGTTAAGTAGTGTATAAATGCGTTTGAG